CTTGACATTTACCTGACTAAAATCTATTTTTTCCACCCCTCTCTTTGCTTTACTTTTCGTAAAACCTCACCTTCATCCTTCATCTTTCATCCTTCATCTTTCATCGTCTGGACCTTATCCAGCCCTCCAGCCCCCTAGTCCTGTTCTGGGCTCTCACCTCTTTTTCTGGCTGCACTCTTCTTCCTTTCCAAGCTCAACTCCTTGGGGAACCAATCCAACTGTACATTATCTACTCTCCAACACTTGTCTTGTAGTGCTTGTACCTTGTCAAACCCCCACCATGGACTACTCCCACCAGCCATCTCCTCCACTCCTACTCACATTCTGCCAATCAGAATTCAAATAAGTCAGGAAACTATTTTAACTGGACTCACTACACATTTATGTTATTTGCTCTCCAATGGGCTTTCATTGTAGCAAGGAAATCCTTCAACTTCTTAATTGATTCTCTATCCTACTAAATACAGCAGTTCTAAGACTTTCTCTTTCCCTCCCTCTATTTGTGTGACACACACACACACATACACACACACACACACACACACACACACACACACAATTTTCTCTCTCTCTCTCTTTCTCTCTCCCCCTCTGCTGAGGACCTCAGCCTTATATTTTACATCTCAAATTCCCTCTTCTCTATCTTCCTCTCACAACCCTTCTCCTCATCTACTCTTTATCTCTACTCTTCATCTCTTACTATTTTCTCCTTTACTGTAGACTCTGATTAGGACTAGTGGCTCTTCTCATCAAGGCCCTCTCTTCTACACATACCTTTGATTTCATCTCCTCTTGTGTTCTCCAACAGATTGCTCTCACCATCATCCCCACTCTCTAATCCTTTAAGCTTCTATCTATTGATTCCTTCCCTGCTTCCTACAAACATGTCCATGTATCTCCCATCCTTAAAAAGCACCCTACTAGGTCCCCCCATCTCTACCAGCCATCAACCTTTCTCTCTTCTTTCTCAAAACCCTTGGAAAAAATATTTCCATGTGCTGAATCTATGGTCCTCTCTCCCCCACTCTTCTAAACCTTCTGCAACCCTGACTTCAACGCTTTTTCCAAATCTACCAATGCCGTTTTAATGGTGAAGCCTCATCTCTTTTCAGATCCTCTCCATGCCTGAAATGCTCTTACCCCTCCCTCTGCCTTTCTGAATTCTTGATTTCCTACAAAACTAAGCCCGACATCTTCCACATGAAGCATTTCCAGCTGCTAGTGCCCTCCTTCCCCAACTACTTTATATCCATTTTGCATAGAATCTTCCTATATTTATATAAGTACGTGTTATTAGGGAAGGAACTGCTTCATTTTTTCTTTTGTCTTTGCATCCCTAGCACTTAGTGAAATGACTGGCATGGAGTACCAGTAATAAGTGTTTTTTGCCTGATTTTTCTTTGAATTCTAGTTTATTAGGTATTGATGCCACCCCTCAGATATTTTAGACCCACTTCTTAATCTAGCTATATCTTTTGCCTTGCCTGTAAGCAACATATTGATGAGTTTTGTTTCTTGATTAATTTTTTAAATGAGTTTTTATTAATATCTTGTTATTTTATATCCCTATAATTTTGCCCAGTATCCTTCCTTTCCCTCTCAGAGAACTATTTTATATAACAAACAGTATTTTCTAAAGACGAAAAAAGAAAAACAGGAAATCGGCATAACTGACCAATATATTGAAAAAGTCTAAAATATGTACAATATACAACATTTGTGGACCTTCCACCTCTGCAAAGGGGTGTCTTCTTACATATCTTCTTTCAAGGCAAGCTTATTCTTTGTAATTTGCATCATTTGCTTTTGAATTTTTTGTGGTTGGTTTTTCCATTTACATTGTTACAATTATTGTACATATTGTTTTCTTGGCTCGTGGTTTGCTTCAGCTTTCATCATTTCATGTCAACACTTTTTTGCCTCCGTAAGATAATTCAGACCATTGACATTTATTATTTTAGCCTTGGAATTTTGTCACTGTGGGGAAGTGTTGGGAACTCCCTCAGATGATGAAGTTTGATAACCCATCTGTAATTAAAGTCTTAGAGAATTCTTTGTGGGTACTGATTGGTTAATCCTTTTATACCAAGACGAAAAGTGACCGAGAAGTTAAATGATACTAGCATGTGTTAGAATTAGGAACTAAAGCCAGGTTTTCCTTAGCCAAGGGCTGGCCCTTCATCCACTACCCTATACTGCTTCTCATATTTACTGTTAGAATCAATGTGTTTTGATGTTCTCAGTATTGTCCAGAAGAAGTGAAGTATATCAGTCTTCTACAACTTTTTCCCTCTTAAAACAAATTATGTTTCTGTTTTTCAACTATCGTGTGGGACGGTGACCACCGAAATCAAGACTTTGGAGTCTGAATCAGAGATCAGAAAAGGTCTTCATTCTTTCTCACGAGAAAGGGCACAGCCCTCGTCACTCAAGCTTGGCAGCCAGGGAGTGTGCCCGCCGGCTGGGAGAGGCAAAGCTTTACGACCCTCGCACGTGCCCCCTCCCACCTTCTTACCTCTCTCCCCCATTGACTGGTACTCAAGGCATACAATCTAAATGCAGCAACTGATATCCAATAGAAGCAAACATGCCCATATTTGGGAACCAGATGCGTGCCTGTACCAGGAAGTGGGAGCGACCAGGAACTGCCTGTGCTGACCTGGACTTTGAGAAAGGGAAACTTACCTCAGGGTTTTCTGGAAAAGTGAAACTTAGGCCTGAGGGAAGTGCACTTTGGGCCATCTCTCACAGTATTAATTCATCTGTTTCCTGGAGGTTTGAATACTTAAAACAAATAAGGCATTTTTGCCTTGCACTGTTGGCTCCTTCTCATTTCCTTCGTTTTTGGGGTTATTGCTTCTCCACAAAGTCCTACCTCAGCGTCCACAGCATTTTAGAGCAGAATACAAGCTCAGGAGGCCTGGCCCCGCCTGTCTTGTTGGATATGCCTCCCCACCCTCACTCCAGGTCTCTGCTCTCTCCTTACCTAGCCCCCCAGAATCTCACCTTCCTAGACTAGCTCATGCCCTCTCCTGCAGGTCGCCCTCCCTGATTGCTCCCCCCATCCTCCCAGGGCCGGGCAGTGGAGACTTGCGCTTAGTGACGGGGCGTTTCTTCTGCTCTCCCCTATTAGATGCAACCCCAGCCCCCCAAGCAGGGGTTACTTCCAGGTTGGTCCCTCCACCCCCAGTGTAGGGATTTTCACTCTTTTTGACTCCTCTTTAATGAGGGTAGTAGCCTCTGAAACTGACATTTGCTTTGCTTGTCACTATTTCTTCCTCACATCTGCCATCCCTTTAAAAACCTTCCCCTTCCCTTTCTCTGTATCTGCTTGTAGAGTCTGGTATGTTTCCACACCACATTCTGTCTGTGTTTGTTCATTCCTCCTTTGTGCATTTCAGATAAATGAATGGAATGGGGAGAGACTCGAGGCAGGCAGATCCACCAGCAGGCTGCTGCAGTAGTCCAGGTACGAGGTGATGAGAGTCTACACCAGGGTAGGGGTGTTGAGGTTTAGAGTTGGGAGAGCTGGTTCAGGTGTGAAAGAATTCACTTAGACCTTCTCTGTAACCATTGGGAGCTTTATTGATGCAAAAGCAGCAGGCTAGCTCTGGAAAGAGGACTAGCAACTTACAGAGGGGTAGGGGTCTGTTTTATCTTACAAGATAAGGGGAGGGGTTGTCATGACACAGGATGAGGAAGATGGATGGCAGGATAGGGGACTCAGGATAAGGAAGAGTTTTATGGTATCTCAAGACAAGAGAAAGAGACTCTAGGATGCCCTCAAGGTCAGGAGGGGCCTCACAAGATGCTGGAAAAACAACCCTTACTTAAAATTTGTTTCTTTAAAAAGCTTTTAACTTTTAGGGCACTGTATGTCTTCTGCTTCAGGGGCAGTGTCAGAAGAAGGAGGCATATTCAAGAGATGGTGAGGAATCCAGGACGACCTCTAGGTTGTGAGCCCTGAGGGGTTGGGAGGATAGTGCTGCCCTTGGCAGTAATGGGGAAGGAAGTAGTGGTGTATTTAGGGGGAAAGATCATGAGTTCACTTTTGGACAGGTTGAGTTTAAGATGTCTACTGGACACCCAGTTTTAGATGTCTGAAAGGCAGTTGGAGATGTGAGATTTGAAGTCAGCAGAGAGATCAGGGCAAGATTGGATAATCGATCCATCCTGCAACAACAGAGATGATCATTAAATCCGTGGGATCTATCTAATGAGATCAGGACAGAACTCGGGGACACCATCAGTTAGAGGATGTGGTCTGGAGGAGAATACAACAAAAGAGACAGAGAAGGAGTGGTCAGAGAGGTAGGAAGAGAACCAGGAAAGAGAGGGGGACGTCCTGAAAACCTAGAGAAAAGAGTGTCAAGGAGGAGACAGTGATCAGTAGTGTCCACGGCTGCAGAGAGGTCAAGGAGAATGAGGATTAGAAAAACTGCACAGGTCTACCTCACCCTCAGGCTCTGCATCAGGGTGATGTTAGATGGGGTCTGAAATTAGGCCTTACCTAATTGCTGAGCTTTAGCACTCCTTTCTATGTTTTCTTTGAACCCTTTCGCAACCAAATTACTCCATCTTGTCTAAAGGGAGAGCTAAAATGTGAACCCCAGAATTTTAACCAAGTGAGAACAAGTCTGTATGTGTGTGTATGCATATATGTATATATCCTAAAGTATATTGTATATACCACACATATGTATTCATATACATGTTTCTATTTACATGCGTACATATATTTACATAATATTTATATACACACATACTTTAGATATAGGTGCAAAAAATCCTTGATGAACTGGAGAGACTTAAGAAGACTAGCTGAGGAACTTCTGTACCAGGTCTAGAAGAGAGATTTTTAATGGCTTGGTAGCTAAGAAGGGAGATTTCAAGAGCTGAACCAGGGGAAAAAAAAAACAAAAAACAAACAGCAGCACTGGGGAACACTGGCGAAAACAGAAAGAGAAAGTCGGACTGAAATGTGACTGCGAGGAGAGAGACAGCCATTGGCTGACCAAGTACTCTGAAGCAGAAGACCCAGGCTAGAGCCACCAGTTGTAATCACATCCTTGAAGGCTGAGGGAAGGTCCAAGTAAAGGTCTGCTCCTTCCCCATTTTCCCCTCCCGGGTGCCCGGCTGTTACCACACTGCTTAGAAGGTTCCAGCAATGGTAATCTTATCTCTGTTAATTATTTCGTACTTATCCCATATAGAGCTGGCTTTGTATATAGTTGTTAACATCCTTGAGGGCAGGGATGGTCCTTTGCCTCTTTTTGTATCTTTAGCACTTAGCACAGTGCACACAGTAGGTGCTTAATAAATTTTAACTGGTTGATTGATTAATAAATGCTTGTTACCCTCCTTATGTTTACTCTGCTGCTTTTTTTTACCCAAACCTTGGCCTAAAGGTTAGGATTTTTCCTAACTGGGGGTTTGGGATTATTATCGTGATATTCTTATCTTTTCGTTTAATATAAATTTCCTACAGTAGCAGAAGAAGGAACCACGTGGACCTCTGAGGTCATTATATTGCCCCTAGTCTAAGTGTTATAAGGGGGTAGGGGAAACTCAGCCAGGGCAATTTTTTTTTCTTTCTAGTTTCAATTCCATGCTAATTTTTTCTTGAGAGGGGAGTTGCCCTTTTTCTTTTGTTTGGCTTTCTTTTCAGTGGAATTTTCTGCATTATTACTCAGCCATTATTTTAAGCATTACTGAAGTATTTTTGATAAAAATATTAGCTCTGATCCCTGACCAAGAGAGCACCAACTGATTTCTAATTGACACAATCTGTCAGTAATTGAGGTTGATGTGTTATTCTTGTTTCTGTTTGCATTGTTGGAATCGATCAAATTGTTTTGGACATTTCCTCTTGATCAATTGTTCTTTGGTAGATGGTAAATATTGGTTTTATATAACAACACTATGAAGACATGAATATAGTATTTGAAAAATATTGTCCATTTGTGAAGGCTAATATTTGCAAGGTACGTGGAAGAGAACCTATGTTTAATGAAGAATATGTAGATTTCATGAAGGTCAGAGTTAAGACAATTGGGACTCTAGAAAAGTATACACAGGAAAAAGGTCAGGAGCAACCATTCTGTGCTCCGTGAAGTCATTCAGACATTCAAGAATACTTGAAAAAACCCAGGAAAGGTCCAATATCTGTTCATTGTTGTTACTGACATGTTGAGAGAACCGTTTATAGTGGAAGCTGAAGTCAGTGGGGTCTTATTTTCCCAATGTTTAGGCAGAAATGACGATGGAAAGCATTCTAGGCATGGGAGACAGCTGGGGAAGATACTGGATGGAGAGATAGAGCGTCATGTGTGGGGGACACCAAAAAGGCCAAACTGTCACTGGGTTGTGGCTTTTAGAGATAGGAATAAGGTTTAAGAAGACTGGAAAAGTAGGGAGGGGAAAGGTTAGGATGGGTTTTCAAAACCAAGGAGAGGATTTTATGTTTGCTCCTGGAGGTAATGGAGAGCCACTAGTTTACTGAATGGGGTATACACACATGCACAGATGTGTCCATATGTGAAACGGGCAGACATGCTCTTTTGTTCTGTATTAAGGGTTTTGCATTTGTGAGGTGGGCTCAAGTGGGCCTCTGACCTAGGAATCAGGAGGGAAATCTCATTACAAAATTGTTCTTCTCTGACTGTACATTCTAAGGTAGCATTCGATTGGGTTTTATTAATTATTATTATTTTGGCTATTGACGGATGGCTTTTGTGCTAGCAAGCCATACTGGTGGCAGCATGTTCATCAGCTGCTGAAAATGTTCCCTTGGGAGTCCCTCAGCAAACATATGTTAACTCAAGTGAGTTACACCAACATGGTAGAGCAGATAGAAATCTGGCCTCTAAGTCGCAAGACTTGGGCTCAGGTCCTTCCTTTTGCATACATGCATACATAAAAACACACATATGCTACACACCTAAACACATACACACGTGTGTGTGTGTGTGTGTGTGTGTGTGTAGACAGCTGGAGGCACAGTTGGTAAGACCATTGGGTCTGGCTTCAGACACTTTTGAGCATGACCCTGGGCAAATCACTTAACCTCTGTTTGCTTCAGTTTCCTCATCTGTAAAATGGAGAGAATTCAAATGATAGAACATTTGTAAAGGGCTTAATATACAGTATCTCACACATAGTAGGTGCTATATACATGCCAGCTATTATATATGTACATATATGTATGTGTATACACACATACATACACATATAGGCAGCTGGGTGACACAGTGGACATGGTGCTGGGCCTGAAGTCAGGAAGATTAATCTTCCTGAGTTCAAATCTGACCTCGGACACTTACAAACTGTGTGACCCTGGGCAAGTCACTTCACCCGCTTGGCCTCAGTTTCCTCATCTGGAAAATGAGTCGGAGAAGGAAGTGGCAAATCACTCCATGATCTTTGTCAAGAAAACTCCAAATGGGGTCACGAAAAGTCAAACACTACTGAAATGACTCAACAACAACAAATATACATATATATATGTATATATCAGATAATACACATGTACATATGTGTGTATATGTATATGCTGGCTGCGTGCACAATGCCTGACTGGAGTTATAGCTCTCGATTAGAATCACAGAATCTCAGAGCTGGAAGGACACTCTGGCTCACAGATTTAGTGCTGGGAAGGAGTGGAAAGGTCGTCTATTCCAACTCCTATATTTAGAGAGGAGGAAATCAAGTCTCACAGAGGTTGAGGGACCTGGAACACAGCTGGTACGTGGCAGACCTGGGATTGGCTGGAACCCGTGCCCTCTGATTCTAAATCCAGAAAGCATCTAACCCAATGCATGCTTGAGTGGGAATTCCTCCTTGCATCAGCACTGGGAAATGGTCAAAGACCTCCAAGGATTACTTCCCAAGGCAACCTGATCCCCTTGCAGATAGCACTCACCATGAGGAAGCTTTTCCTAACATCCAGCATAATTCTGGCTCTCTGAAACTTTTGGCCCATTTGGTTCAGCCTGGAACAACATTCTTCTTACTCCTGCTTGCCCTCCATAGATCTGAAAACTGCTGCCATGCTCCTCATATCTTCTAAATATCTTCAGTTCCTTCACTGATTCCAGTATGGCCCGTTCTCCAGGCCTCTGGATCCTTCCAGCTTTTCAAGCACGTGCCACCTCCTTTCCAAATCATTTAACATGATACTATTTTGGATTTTGCAGCCTGCACCCAAACCTGGTGACCTAATTGAGTTCTTCCAGCCTAAATTTCACCATTGGGGTATTTATGTTGGGAAGAATTTGATCATCCACCTAGTGCCTATAGGTAAGTAGTCTCCCAGCATTACCTCTTATGCGTGGTTCCATTGTACACAGATAAGGGGCTGGGTGTAGACTTGCAAGGGCAAGCCTTTTTGCAAGGTCACTTGATTACAGAGGGAGGGCTTTGTTATACCTGGAATGCTTTCCCTTCTCACCTCCACACCTTCCTAGCTTCTTTCAAAGCTCAACAAGAACATCACCTTCTATATAAGGTCTTTGCCTTGCTTTCATTTTGTATATCACTACACAGGTAACATGTTGTTTCACTCTCTAGAATATAAACTAAGCTGAAGCCAAGCTGCTAAGCCCTCAAAAAATTATTGTTGCTTGATTGATGCCTTCCACTATGAGTCTGCCCCCAATGTCAGTTGAGAGGAGGCAGAGAGACAGAGAGAGACTGAGAGAGGCAGAGAGACAGAGACACACAGAGACTGAGAGACAGACAGAGAGAGGGAGCTCAAATGATCACATCAGAGACGAGTCTAGCTTTATCACTTGGCTGCAGCAGGGACAACAGACATTGGTAAAGCCAAGTTTCCACCCACCTCTCCTTTCCACTCCCTTGGTGTCTTCATGATCTTGGGCACCTGACATTCCCTCATTGCACTGAGTGTGGCTGAGTCCTAGGTCTAGGTGGGGAGTCTCAAAGGGCTGAGATCTTATTTGGATGCACAGCTGTGTTGAGAGTGGTGCTTATGACAGCAGACACCCTTTCCCAATGCCATGGAGGGTTCATACATACACGTCCTCTGAGGAGGGAAGTAGTAAGTACTACTTTCTAGGGTAGCCGTGGCCCTATAATTTGTGTGCATTGGGAGAGTATTCTTTCATTCGGGGCCAAAGCCCTGCTGGAAGAAGCACCCTGATCCTCTCTGGACTCCATTGAAAGGTGTCTGAAGGGCTATTTTAATCATGCGTGTCATGGGGCTTGGTTTGAGCTGCTCCAGCCCCAAGTATAGCTAGTTATACATTCTCCTAATTAGCTGTTTATCAGGGGAAAAGTTTAAATAAAATCATGAAAGACAGATTCAGGCCAGGGTACTGAAGTTTCTTGGGTACATCTCAACCTTTTGGAGTTTGAGTACCAGGCAAGCAGCCAGACTTCCCTACAAGTAACTCTTTTGGGACACTCTCAGAAACATGGGGCTAAAGGGACCCAGGATGGGACTGTTTGAGAAAGAGCTCACCATAAGTGGCATCTTCTTTTCACATTGAAAGGTAAAACAACTACTTCTATGATGGCTACTCATGGCATAGTGGAGAAGAAACCATTTAACATTGATCAAGGAGAGAACTACAGGGTGAATAACATATATGATGAGTTATACCAGCCACTACCACCTGAAGTGATCATCGCTGAGGCCTTGGAGATGGTGGGGAACATGGTGCCCTATTGTGCCATTACCCAGAACTGTCACGACTTTGTGATTGACCTGAGATACGGGAAACAACGGAAGATGCAGCTCTGTCAGAGCTGTCAGGTATACTACGGAGACTAGCTACCTAATAAATGGTGGTTAAGTGATGAATTTTAGCAAATAACAAAGCACGCTTGTGGAGCTGGTGTAGACTTCCTGGGGTGCTTATGGTCAGAACCAAACAGAGCATGTGCACAGTACTTGAGATCCATTTCCTCAGCTCAGCCCTGGGCATGGGCCTTCTCACTTTAAACTCAGTTTTCCCATCTGGGGATGTCAATGTTCTTTCCTTGGGAAAGGAAGTCTTTGCTTTTAAAGCTCTGGGAAGTTTTTTAACTGGAACAGGTAAAGCCTAATGTTCAATGATCCCCCAGGGCCAAGTTTCCCTTTCTTCAAGGAAGGTTACTCCACAGCCATTATTCCAGTTCAGAATAATATCTGAGAATAATCTGTCTTGGCTTCAGTCCAACCTACCATGTTAACTTATCAGAATTGACACGTGGGTAATGGTGGAAGGGTGGCCAGATTTATTACCCTGAACATAAAGCTGGTGGGTGAGAGCTTCCTCATGTGTCCCTAAAGAACTTGCAAAACCCATTTCTTTTCATCAGACTCTCTGTTACTATTCATCATAGGGTCTTTAAATTCTCCACTTGATTCAATAATTGCATAAGAACCATGAGAAATCCTTGATCTCTCAAGGATGCCGCTTCTAACTTGGACTGCCCGAGAAAAGCCCCTCTTGACCTTCTTCTTTCCACCTCCTCCTCCTGTTCTCCTATCAGCTTTAAGTACCCCTAGGCTGTAGACCCGTTTGGTCCCCATTTGGGTCTATCCCAGTTTGATTCCTTCCATCTCCTCCCCTCTATGGTGTGGCTGCCCCAAGTCCCTCAGCTCCCTTTTCATTTTGTTGGCTCCTTTCTTTTCCCAAGGGAGCTAGCCAGAGCAGAGTACTTGATTGGAGTGAAGGGCAGCAGGCTTCCACACTGACCAGCCTTCCTTTCTATTCACAGGACCTTGGTGAGATGATCATTGGGATACTTCGTTTTGTGTTTTGTGTTGCCTTCACACCGCGTGCATAATGATTCTGAGAGACAGACGCCAAAGTCATCAAGGCCACCTCCATTATGGCAGCATGGCTGGGCTGCAGTTTTCATTTAGCCATGTAGCTTGTAGTTATAGACATATAAACATATATATATACACATATGTGAAAATAAGGCCTTCCCAGTTTTTTCCTCAAGGAGTGCTGGAACGTATGCTTTGCCCCAAGCACTAAGAGCCTAGCTCTTCAGAACCCAAAGCAGGGTTACCTCTAGCTGAACGTAATAGTTGTTCTGGCAAGGCTTGGACAAGATGCCTTGCTGAATACCCTGGGAGATAAAGTCCTTCCTAGATTGGGAACAGAGGAATCTAGCCCAGCAGGACTGGAGGTTGTAGTGTTTTCCTTAAGGTGGGAGTCTGGAGGATCTCTCTTGAAAGAGAGGGCACTCAGAAAGAAGGGAGTATCACTCAGGTGGTTAACATCAGAGGTAAAATCTGAACCCGGGTCCTTTGACTCCAGGGCCAGTGCTCCGTCCACTGAACCAAGCTGCCGGCAGCCACATCCTACTATGTGCCAGGCACTATTAAGCCATGGGGAGTCTGGGGGGGCGGGAAACACAAATAAAAGTGAAAGACCTGCCCTCAAGGAGCTCACATTCTACCGGGGAAGACGACATGTGAACATTTAACTGTGTTCAAAATCTTTACCAAAGAAATGCCAAGTCATGTTGAGGGCGGACAGCAGCTGAGGGGTCCTGAAAGGTGTCATGGAGAAGGTGGGCTGAGCCATCCTGAGCTAGGGATGCTAGCTAGAAAGTAGTGGTGAGGGCATTCTTGGCATGGGAGCTAGGTGTCTCATCCTCAGGACCACCCAAAAGGGATCATTTTCTATTTCTATTTTTTGGCTCATTCCTCCCTCCACCTCTCTCCCCCAACTTACCTCTAGCAAATCCCCCAACAGAGTTCATGTCTGGGTTTCCACAGATGTTGGTAACAGGGTGCCCGGCTCCTGTGCAGGTACCCAGAGCAATACATCCCTGTGGGTAGAGGGCAGCCTTTATTTTACCCCCCCGGAAAATAGAAAGAGACCATACAATTGATGCTGAAAACACCCAAAGCCCTCAAATAGCCCATAAATTTTCCTGAACTTAGGGTTGTCAGTGAGGCAACCCCTAGGCATTCTGGACAATCCTTCTTTCTCGAGGGGAAGGGCCCTCTCAAGAAGTATAGTAACATTCTGTGATTTGCATACCCTCCAGGAGAGAAACACACTTGGGGCTGCTGAACAGACTGCCCTTTCCCTGGATATGTGCTGGCCCAATGAGTCATGGTGTGAGTAGGGAGGAAAGCACCAGTCTTCTGCTACCTTATCCCATGTGGTTACTGTTCTCTGGCTTCAGGGACTACATGGGTAATCCTGTTCCAAGTGACATGTCACAATAGGAAGTTCCCCTGTCTTTCTAGAAGCCAGGTCCTATTTATATGGTCTCTGACAGAGTCCTAATAAAGCTGCCCTCAACCCCAATATTCTAATTTCCTCATGGGCCCCACTTAACAGCAGGCGTGGCCTGATTTAACCACACCACAGGCCCCTAGACTCAATATAGCCACTGCCCTTACCTAGCCATCGCCCCCAGCTGCCCCCCAGATCTAACTCTCACGTTTAAACCGACGTGTTGTGCACTCAACCACAATCGCACCATCCATTTAGCTCAAGAGAAATTATCCACCTTGACCTGACGGAACCACAATAGCTAGCCAGTCAGAAAGCAGCCCAAGTAGGATATTTGATCACCAAACCATAGAAGCCCCCCCACCAAGATAGCACATGGCCTGTAATAGTAAAGACCTGACCTAGAGTAAACTTATGACATAGAGAAGTTTCTTATATCATTTTCATACATAAATGCTGCCCCCCATGGGTTTTTCTATATGCATTGTGGGTAATCGCATGCACAATTCCACCGAGGATGGGACCCCTCCCCCATTACCTAATCCCTTAACACATCCCTCCTGCTTTTTAATATTCATAATTTCTGTTATATGATTGCATCTTCTGTTATATAAAAATCCATCTTGCTTTCACTGAAGTTGCTGGTTCCTCTTGGAACTCAGCCCACTTAATGAGAGATGTCAATTTCAATAAATGCCTTTGCCTGGTCTGGAGGCAGTGTGGGGTTGAATTCTTTCAAGATGACCCTACACCACACATCATGGAACCAGGACAGTCTTTAACCAGTTGGCCTGACTCTTTCATTTGCTCTCCCACGCGTGGTTTCATTCAAGGTCATAATTCAAACACACTTTAATTTTTACCTTACTAGATGCATGGTAAAGGCAGAAGCATTAATAGACTACAATTTAGAAATGGTTAGACAGGTGAGAGGAAAACAAGAGAAGGGGATGGTCATCAGTATTTAAAGAGGTCCTTGTGCCTCCCTCTGGCTTCTGGGAACTGCAGCCTCTTTTCCTGATCCTGGTGGACCTGGAGGCCAGAGGTGGGCTTGGGTGTCTCCACAGTCTTACTGGAGAAGCAGGGTCGAGATAGGGACATCATAGATCATAACTTACATGTGGGATTACTCACAACCTGCCCTTTTCAGACTAGGCTAGATTATCAGATCACACTGCCTAGGAAATAAACTCCCCTTTCTTTGTTTGGGGGGGGCTAGGCAATGGGGTTAAGTGACTTGCCCTGGGTCACACAGCTAGTAAATGTCAAGTGTCTGAGGCTGGATTTGAACTCAGGTCCTCCTGACGCCAGGGCCAATGCTCTACCCACTGCGCCACCTAGCGATTTAGGGTTCAAGGATATCGTCTGTGAACTCCTTCCTTGAGCTGAGTGCGCAAACGTGCCCCATGTGGCAGGAACTCAGCATTTCAGCGACTGTCAACTCTTTGGTTGGAGGAGACCATTATTCTCAGGTCTCCAATTTGACCAGGGTCAGAAAGCTGGGGAGAAGCTCGTGTGCTACTGCCCCACGGCCAACACAAATGGTTTCTGGGAAGAGGTGGAAGAGTCTGAGAAGTCACAGGCTTTGCCCCACTTAGAGCTCAGATCTACTAGACTGCACTCAGGTCTGTCCTCTGAAGAGGGAAAGAGGAGAAAGGGCTGAGTGGCTTCAGGGAGGCAGCTTCTCAGACAAGTGGGGTGGAGGGAGGGAGGGCAGCCTTAGCCATGTCTGAAATCTAATGAGGAGTCGTCAATTTTCCCTTTAACAAGATGCAGATGGACATCTCTACACTGTTTGAAAGGAGAGGTATGCTTATGTGCCCATATAACACAGGAGAAGAGGTATGTTTGTTAAACTGATTAAGGGAAACCCTCCCAATAGACCCCCTCTTACAAAAACAAAAACATAAAAATCTTAGGAAGATCAAAAATCTTAGGAAAAACTTTTCCAAATCACTAAAGTTAGAGAAATGCAAATTAAAACAATTCTGAAGTGAGATTGAGAAAAATTATAAAGAGAAATGGCCAATGGTTTAAAATTGGCGGAAGACAGCCACATTAACACATTTTAGATAGAGCTGTGAATTGGTCTACATATTCTAGAAAGCAATTTAGGCTTAAGTGAGAAAAGTCATGGAACTGTTCATTTCCAGTGTCAGCACTAATGAGCATCTAGATGAAAGACAGAAAGGGCCTATATACACCCAAATATTCCTAGTGGCAATCTCTGGTAGCAAAGAACTGGGAATAAAGTTGATGTCCATTGATTGGGGACTGGCTGAATCGTGATCTATAACTGTAACAGAACATTACTGTATTGTAAGTTACTTACAGTTACTTCCTGCAGGTCAGGAAGACCTGGGTGACTCTGAGCCAACTCCAAAATTGTATTTCAGAAAAGGTGGCAACCTGCATTGGTAAAGAGAGATTCTTTATCTGTGGGAAATCAGAGGTCCAGCTCCGATGTCTGTCCCTGTTAAGTAACAACAAATATGAGGAATTCTGAAAACTGTGGGCAGACGTGTATGCACCAATGCAGAGCCACGAGGGCAGAAGAACGAGAGGACAAGTGGATACTAATGTAAATGGAAGCAACACCCAAAGCTGCTTACCTCGGTCACTGCACCGACTAATCATGAGATCTCCAGACTGGCCAGGAGCTCAGCCGAAGGTACCCTGTCTGATCCTGAGCTGCCCCACCGTAGGCTCAGACATACAGAACTGGGATGCACCTTAAATGAGAAGGCAGCAAAGGGAGAAATCAGAAGGGAGGATACACAAGCAAGAAGTCCAGTGCCATAGAAGTGGGGGCTATTGAGTCATAAGGACCCACCATAGGCCTGGAAGAAAATCAGGATTAGTTGCATAGCATCACCCTTATCTGTGCCCTCAGGCTTTGATAAACTGGTAATTGTTGGGGAATAATGGGGAGAGACCTAAAACCCCTCTGGTCTTAAAAATTAGACCCTTTAGGGCAAAGGTGGGAGGGGGAGAGAGCAGGCAGGGTCTCAGGCCTTGGAATCTGTCACAACCTGGCATCGTGAAACTCTTCTCACAGGTTATGAGTGCACTCCTAGGAGATTAATCTGATGGCCTTCTCTCTGTACTCATCCTCCACTCCTATGAAGTGTGTTTGTTAAAAGCCATTTAATGACCACCCCTCTTGCTGTTCTCCTCTTACCTGTCTGGCCACTTCTAAGTTAAATTCCATTAATGCTTCTACTTTCACTGTGCGTCTACTAATGCATTTTCATTAAAGTGTGTTTGAATTGTGACCATGAAGGAAGGGAAATGAACAAAACCATTTAAGGGCTGGGTCAGAATAGGCAGAGACCAAGTCAGAGATCATAGACATGAATTCCTAGGCACAAGTCTGGGGTGGTGCCTGTGAGGTGAGGGAGAAAGCTATCAGTTACCAAAAGGCAAGTGTAGTTATCCCAGATTAGCCTGGGCCAGCTATGGCTACAGCCACTTGAAAGGGAATCAGAGGCAGACCTGCCCTTGTGCCAGCAATTTCCCTGATGCTGATTTCCTGGTACTTCGGTGTCTCTTGGATTACAACCTGACTCTGCCTTCTGGTCTTCCCTCCCTGACCCTGGCTTGACCCCAACCTGAGGAATTTAGTTTGTACCCGATGGTCCAGGGTTCCAGCTACCTTGGTGTTTTTCAGTGTCTCCCAGAAAGGTTCCACTAGGACGTCCCCTCTGGCTTCCTTCCTTGTGTGCTCCCCTCTGGCTTCTGGAACTGCAGCTTCTTTGCCTGATCCTGGTGGACCTGGAGGTCAGAGGTGGGCTTGGCTGTCTCCAAGCCTTACTGTGGAAGGGGGAGAGGTAGGGCCATCATAGACCATTAGAGCAGGAACCTTCTGTCCATAGACTCCAACCCCTTCATCTTGGAGAGGAGGAAAAGCAGGCTCAGAGAGGGTGAGAGTTTTGTTCAGAGTCACTCAGGAAGTGAGAGGCAGAGCCAAGAATCTCGGAGCGGGAAGAGACTTTGGGGGCTTCCTCCTCTTGTCCAGTCCCTCAGACAGTGGGAGATGTGGCTGATTGGGACAGCTCCATGTCACTGGCTGTCTCCTCCTCAAGACCCTGTGTAGGAGGCAGTGGGCAGAGGGTCTCAGGGGCTCCTGGCCCCACGTCCTGGTTACCAAGGTTTGTCACTTTACCCCCAAAGGACACTTTTCTGGAGGGAGGAGTCACTCAATCTCTGGTGGGTACCCAGGTATCTATGGGGCCCCAGGCCCCTAGAGGGGGTTTCTGGGTATCTAGAGATACCCCAAACTTCTCAAGGAGGTCCCTGGGTATTTAGAAGGGTCCCTAGACCTCCAAAGGAGTTCTTAAATATCTAGAGGGACCCCAGACTACCTGGGGTAGTCTGGGCCTCTGGAGGGGGGCCCTGGGTATCTAGAAAGGTCCCTAGAGGGTGTTCCTGGTTATCTAGAAGGGTCCTTAGGCCTCCAAAGGGGTTCTTAAGTATATAGAGGGGCCCCAGACTACCCAAAGGGGTCCCGAGATCTCTTGAGGACCCCTGGGCCTCTGGAGGGGAGCCTTGGGACTTCAAGAGGGGGTCCCTGGGTATCTAGAAGGGTCCCCAGGCCCCTAGAGGGGGTTCCTGGGTATCTGGAGGGGCATCCCCTGATCTCTAAGGGACCCCCTAGGCCTCTGGGGGGGGGGCCTTGGGACCTCAGGAGGGGGTCCCTGGGTATCCGGAGGGGCATCCCCAGATCTCTGCGGGGGGGGCCCCTAGGCCTCAAGAAGGGGTCCCCGCGTCTCTCGAAGGTCACTCGCTCCCACCCCTCATTTCACACAGGAGAGAACAGGCCCTCCCTCGACAGACTGACTGGGGGACCAGTCCAGAGACCCGCGATCGCTCAGGACCTCAGCCTGAGGAACACTGCCAAATGGCGAGACTCTCCCAGCGCCTCTAGTGGCTACTGCGCAGGCGCCAAAGCTCCAGCTCCGCCCCCAACTACTGCGCAGGCTCCGGAGACATCCTGGCGTCCCGTTCCTCCTCCTCCCCAGGCGCCTGAGAAGATGCTCATGGAACTGGCCTTGTCGTTCGCCCACAGCGCCGCCATGTGGCCGGTCCCTTTCTCTTCCCAGCCCAGGTGGCTCGCCTCCTGCTTTAGCTTAGCCCCTGGCATCGTAGGACTTAAGACATCGTCTGGTCCTGGAGTTCCTAGCTTGGGCCCCATGAACTTGCTTTCAAGTATTTCGCATAGAGCTGGTTTCCTTTGTCATCCCGTGCCTCTTATTTTACCAACTTAAAAGCAGGACCCTGAAGGGTTCAGAACCCTTGCTCATCGCTGCAGGTGAGGGAGCCTCCAGCTGTGCCCGCATGGACAGAACCCCTCCAGGGAGCCCTTTGGAATCCCACTACGAGTGGGAGGACAGGACCTGCTTTGTCCTCACTCAAGCTTCCCAGCCTTCCTGGTGCCCCCCGCGCTTCTGAGGACAAGAATATTCCCAACAATTCCTACTTCATCAAATGGCTCTAGCCGTCATTCCCAGAGGATAGGAATCTCTTTCTCCCGTCGGCATGATCCCAAAAGGGTTGCTCACCTGCAGATTAAATGAACTCCTTACTGCCGTGGAAACAGGTTTAAAAAAAAAAAAAAAGCTTAAGTCAACTCCTAGGAATCTCTGCTCTGACCAGAAGTTTCTGACTGCCCCCAAGAAGACCCCCACATACATCGGCAGGTTCTAACTACCCCTGTTCCTGGACAGAGATAATAGCAAAGACACTTCTGGAACACTCTCTTCCGGCAGTTCTGCTGTTCTGTGTATCCACTATACACATGACTATTTCCCAAGACTAAACCCTATAAGAATCCCCTTTCTCCCCTCCTTTCCTGGACGTCTCTGTCTGAAAAGACAGGCATTTTCCTGAAATGTAATTCCTCAACCCTGAATAAATGCCTTCATTTATTTACTGATCCCCTAATTGGTCTGAATTTTTGTACTGGTTGACAGTAGAACATTCATTCATCCATCTATCTATCCATCTATCTGTCTATCTGTCTGTCTGTCTATCTGTCCATTCTTCCACACATATGTACACACACACACACACACACACACACACACACACGCACACACGCGCACACACACACACACACACATTGTCATCTCAGAAAGGACCAGCAGTGGAGGGGCCTGGAAAAGTCTCCTGTAAGAGGCAGAAGTTGAGCTGAGTCCTGAAGGCAGTCTGGGAAGCCAAGCAGAGGAGGTTAGCATTCCAGGCAGAGGGGACAGCCAGTTCAAAGGCAGTGAGATGGGGGTGGAGTGTCACATATGGCTACAGTAAGCATCCAAGTGATTATGGGGGGTGGGAAGGGAGTAAAGTGCAAGGATACTGGCTGGGCCAGGTTTTCCAGGGCTTTAGGCATCAGAGAACTTTCTGTCTTACCCTGGTGCTAGGAGGAAACCAGTGGAATTTCTTCAGTAAGGGATGCTATGATCAAACCAAAGTCACTCTAGAAGCTGAATGGAGGGTAAGCTGGAAAGCTTCAAGGCAGAAGAAGTGATGAGAAGGTGATTTCCACTAATCCGGGTTTAAGGCAGTGAGGGCTGCACCCCATCCCCCCTCCAGTGGAGCACCAGGAGGGCAAGGACTGTTTTTGCCTTTCTTTGCATCTACAGCACTTAGCACAGTGTCTGGCACATAGTAGGCCCTTCATGAACACCTGTTCACTTGACTTAGCCTAGATGGAAGACATCGTGAAGGTAAAAATGAGATATAGCAACAGATTTTATATTGGGGTGAGAGTGAACAGTCAAAGATGGCAGTGAGGTTTTGGGGGTTCTGGTCCACTGACCATGGAGTAAAGAGGTGACCCTTGATGGACTACAGAGCTTGAGCTGGTCTGTATTCAGAAAAGCACTAGTTAGCCAGGGTGAGTTTCCCCAGGAGCAGGCTCCTTCTGGGCTTGCTGGCATCGGAGAAGAAGGATGAGCCGCTGAGGGCCTTGTGACAGGGGAGGGGTCTCTGCCTTTCTCTCAGCAGGAGCCGGCATGAACTGGCTGTCGCCTTTTTCTGTTAGGTACGTTCCTTCCTGCTTTTAGGTAGAGATTGGACATGGCAATGACCTTGTGAGCTTGGGTCAGGAGGGTGAGCCACTAAGATCCAGGAGCAGAATCCATGACAGACTGTCCAGCATCCAGAGCCTGAGGAAGGACCTTCCAGACCACACCTGGTGGTGGTAACTAGGACTATGATGAGGATGTGAACTCAGTGGGGCTATGAACTATTTATTTTATGAACCATGTAGAACGCAGCTTAAGTTTGAGCCCACTTCCCCCAGGGACTTACATCTTATGGGGCGAGTGCACCCCCATGTATGGAGGGAAAAGGTACTTATGTGACTGCTTTATCTTCAAAGTCAATATCCTTTTGGAAAAGATAATTGATGTTAATTGGTCAAAGGGAACTGGGGTGTTAATCACTGGTAGGTAATAGAATGGGAGCTGGAGACAGTAACATTAAAGAAAGCCATCCCATTGCCCCTAAGGGGTACCCCTAGAACCCACAGCTAGAAAGAGCTCTGGAAGAGGGAGTTCAGAGCAATCACTATATTTACTAGAGGCAGCATAATGTATTAAGAGAGCTGGCCCTGGGGCGGCTAGGTGGTGCAGTGGATAGAGCACCTGCCCTGGATTCAGGAGGACCTGAGTTCAAATCCGGCCTCAGACACATAACACTTACCAGATATGTGACCGCGGGCAAGTCACTTAACCCCTATTACCCAACCAAAAAAATACAAAAAACAAACCAGAAAAAAAAGAAAAAAAAAAGAGCTGGCCTTGAGTCAGGAAGACCTAGGTTCAAGGTCCTGCTTCTGATACATACTGGGTGTGTGAACCCCAGCAAGTCAAGAAACTTCTCAGTGCCCTAGGCCAGGGCTGGGGAACTGGGGGCCTCTAGGTCCTCAATGACTGAATCCAAACTTCACAGAATAAATCCCTTTAATAAAAGGATTTGTTTTGTAAAACTTGGACTCAGTCAAAAGGCCAAGGATCTAGAAGGTCACAGGTTTCCCATCCCTGCTGTAAACTAATCTAAGATTCTTAATTGAACAGATGGTAGAGGGAACTTACTTACTCAATGGGAGTTCCCTGAACCAATGAAATCATAAGTCTGATTCATTGTGTGTGTGTGTGTGTGTGTGTGTGTGTGTAGCACACGCACGCATCTTGTTTCTTTCCCTTTGAATATAAGCTCTTTGAGGGTAGGGATGGTTCCATTCTTGTCATTGTATCTTCAGTGTTTACCATAATTCCTGGCACACAGTAGATGCTTAATTAATGCTTGGGGTTTGAGTGGTTGACTTGGAATCATAGGCTCACAGGGCTTAGAAGTGACCTGGTTCTTAGATATCCTCTAATACAACTCCATCCTTTAAAAGGTTGGGAAACAGGTTCTGCAAAGGAGAAGTGATTTGCCCAGGAGGGTTACATTAAATAATAGAGGAGATTTAAAACCTTTTTTTTTTTTTAAACTTCAAATCCAATGTCTTTTTTCACCATGGTTGCCCTGTCGCACAGATTTCTAAACAGCAGAGCTTTGGTTCAAATCTCATTCATTTATTTTCCTTTCTGTCCTTGATCTGATTTAGGCCACTGTCTATTAACAGCCCAGAGAAATCAATTTAGTAGCAAAGTCAGCAGGATCTTGTCCTGAGAGCTGATTGGTGGCTTGGTGTAATCCACACCCTCCTTGTGAATTTAGGGTCTGGTTCTAATCCTACCCAAACCAAACCCATTACCCTGTCCCCTAAACTAGAGGTTTTTAATTTGGGGTTCATGAACTTTCAAAAAATACTTATTCAGTCAGGTGACTCTTTGTTACCCCATTTGAGGTTTTCTTGGCAAAGATACTGGAGTAGTTTGCCATTTCCTTCTCCAGTTCATTTTTCAGATGAGGAAACTGAGGCAAACAGGGTTAAGTGACATGCCCAGTGTTACACAGCTAGTAAATGTCTGAGGCTGGATTTGAATTCAGGACCACGAGGCTTTGTGACTCTAGGCCCATTCCTCTATCCGTTTCGCCACCTAGCTTCAGGGTTAGGTCCCTGTTGGTGGGAATGATGAATCCTGTGAAGTGGTTACATTATTCAAATTCAAAGTCTGTTTGCATTGGGCTGGAACCAGTGACCATGTTTCACATAATTATAACTTCAAATAGTGTGAATTCAAATATAAGCAACCGCTTCACGGGATTCATTATTTGTACTTACTGGGACCTAGCTATGTTTCAATACAATTCCTTTCCTTTGTAATCTTATGTATTTTATTTTGTACGCTTAAAAAACATTATTGGGAGAAGCCTTCATCACACTCTCAGCCAGAGGGGTCTGGGACAGAGAAAAGATTCCTCGCCCTAAACCACTGACTGCACGGGGAGCTTGCACACCAGGGCTGTGAATCTCTTTGGTGTTAGACAGTTTAAACTGTGCTGATCTCCATCTTTAATCCGGATTCTCCCCAGGCTCCAAGAATCCGCTCTCCTAGTTGAGACACCAATCCCAGGCCCCTGCGCCTCACCCGATAGCAGGGCAGCTGAGTGGGACATCTAAGGGGTGGGGTAGGGGTGTTTGGAGCTTGCAGCTGAGATGGTGATGAGCATCCGGGGCATCCTGGAAACATACTACCAACTGAGAAGCTGCTTCAGGAAAAGTGGCCAGTCCCCCCTCCCTTCGGTGAGGGATTCTTTGAGCAGCAGGCGGGAGTCTCCTACCTGGCGGGGAGGTGGAGAAGGTGCCCCACCTGGCTCCCCAGAGGTAGTGGTGTTGTTTGCCTTTCATTCTGGAAGAAGGTCATGACATCAGGGACGTGATGCCATGACATGCAAGTGACTGGATTTAAGTGAGGCAGAGCTGTGCAAAGTCACCAGCCTCACTTTATCTTCCGGAGCCATCTGGGTTCAATGGACTGGAGATCGCCCCATGCAGTGGGAGACCTCAGCCTTTTTAGGCTGAGGTCTTTAACGGGTCCCAGTTGCCTGAAGCAGCTCCCACTGAGTGATTAAGGCTAGGTAAGCCCCCAGAGTCATAGAGGAAGATGAAGCAGAGGGAAGGAAGCTTGTGAGCTCATGAGTGAACTCTGTAAGAACTGAGCGGGACGGGCCTGGGGGCCGAGGGAGAGTGTTTCCAGACATATCCAGAGTAAGGGAGCAAAAACTGAAAGGGACAGTTTGTGTGGGCAGTGAGATACTCGGAGCCTCAAAGGGACCCCTTCCCCGACTTCAGGCCTTTGTAGGGCCCCTGGATTAGAACTAGGTGGGGCCTTCACCCGGCACAAAGTAAGTGCTTAACAAATGCTTGTTGACTGACTGACAGACCTTAAAGTCCCTTGGTCCAGCTCTGTCATTTTACAGAGGATTGAGGCCCAGAAACAGAGGATGTGTGCCCCAGGTCACACAGTTAGTAAGTAGCAGAGCCAGAATCCAAACCCAGGCCCTCAGACTCCAGAGCCAGGGATTTCCTTGCTTGACTCCACTGTTGCTATGCAAATAAACAGAACCATGACTGAGGCAAGGCAGCCACATTTGGAGGGAGTTGAGAGCCCGGGGCTTCTCTTCCTCCTCTCCAGGGCATCGCTAAACTGAGGTTGTCTTAAAAAGTTGCTGGAGGGCGCATGTCATGATGCTCACCTTGGCAGCACAGGACTTTAGCGCCTCCCACTGGCTACTGATGGTTCTACAAGTGAGTTTGGCTCATGAGTGAGCCAGGGTTTCCCAGCGTGGGCCATGAGAGGGGTCCGCCTTTTAATAGGTAATGATAACTAGCACTTTTTTTTTGATCCTCACAGCAACCCCTGTCGGTGCTATTATTATACTCATTTTATAGACAAGGCAAACAGGGTTAAATGACTTGCCTAGGGTCACACAGCTAGTAAGTGTCTGAGGCCAAATTTGAACTCAGGTTTCCTGACTTCA